TTTTAAAGGCACTTACAATTTTTTTCACCTCAATGAAAGAATAATTTTAAATTAAGGAAAAAATGATTTTAAAGGCACTTACAATTTTTTTCACAATACAAGGAAGCATTGGTATTGCAATTTCGTTGAAGCGAGATGTTCCGCCATGATGACGGTAGTTTAAAACTGAGAGCATCAAGACGAGATTGCACTGCGTGCATCTACGCAAGTCGCGCGAGCATGTCGCGTTAATCACGTTAAATGTTAATTAAGTCACACAGCCGCACGGTTCGCGGAGACGTAATACGCATTCACGAGTCACTCTAAATTTACGATACTATATTATAATTATACAAGTAATTAGAGCGATACTCACAGTCTCAATTCAAAAACATAATTACGTTGTTATAATGGAAATATTGCTTTTTTTATTTTATATGTAACTAATTTGCAGTGGAAAATAATCACACGTTATAAATTTATAAGCTTTGATTAAGATTATCATTAATATTTAATCATTCGATTCATGACTCGACATTTAATGATTCAGAGATTATTATGAAATAAAATAATTATGAGTGATTATTCTATGCGAGGCTGTGGTTATTCATGGAATACCAATCAACTGTGAATATCGCTTTTAGAAATTCTTTAAAATACAGAAAATTCGCGCGAGCATTTATATATAAGAAAGACAAAGTGGCGATGAACGATCTCTCTCATTTGATCGTTCTCTACTCCATTATGCATTTACAATATCTCAAAAAATCCTTTTGTAAAAACGTGAAAAATCTTACGAAATACTCCAATGTACAATCGCAAAATAGGAAATACTGGCCACGTCATATTTCATTCATATGCACTTCGCCACATCCTATTTCCATTTTTCCTGCTCACTTAAACCAGAATCGTGTAAAGTTCCGGTAAAACAATTTTTTTTCATAAAAACAATTACTATATCACAAAACTTGTTCCAACAATTTCACAGCGAAACTTTAAATCGTGTTTTTCTTTAAACGTACAAACATTTTCATTTAGAAATATTTTTCGTTTTAAGATCTGCCTCTCGACAAAGTCGAGAACAATTTTACGCGTATCTCCTTATGTTGTGTGCTCGAAATTTATAATCTTAAAACGAGCTCTCACGAGCTTTTGTTCTAAGCTGCGCCGCTTCTGGGCTCGGTGTCATCGCCGGATTATCGTACGCATAATCGAGAGTAGTGTCTTCACTGGCGTATCGCCGTGACAGAGGGGTACTCGTGGTATTCGGTGTAGTGCTATTCCCGTTACTATTGCTACTACTATTCTCGGTGATCTTGGGTTCTGGTTCAACTGTTGCACTTATGCTCGGTATAGTCAATTTGAGATCATTTTGTTTATTCACAGCGGCCTCGACGTCGTCTTTATTCTTATTCGCCACCTGCGAAATTTAGATCAAAGTACTTGCAATTGCCTCGCGTAAAAAAGACTTTAATAAATTTGTTAAGATAAACATTCATAGCTTTAGAAAATTGAGATTAAAGGATATAAAAATAATTTTCATTTTTTTTTTTAATAAAAAACATATTTTAATTCAATTTAATTTGTTATTTAATTTATTTATTTTTATTATTTAATTTATTATTATCATTTGTTATTAAATTCTAATTTATTTCTCTCTCGCTTCCCAGACGAGCTCGTTGTATTTAAACATTTAATAGAAAGCCTATCCTCGTAGTAAGACTGATGGAACTTTTTGAAAAAGTTTATTTTTATAGATCACACCTTACCTTCACGAGATTCTTTCTGAATACGGCTCGCAAGGTGTTTTGGATCCTTTCCCACCGTATTAAAGTCCTTCCCAGCAGGTACAGCATTCCCAATAGTGAGAAACAGGTCAACGTCGTTGTGATCGCGAACCAATTCTTGAGTCTTTGCACCTGCTCTATAATAGAAAAATAGGCTTTAAGAGAACTAATATAATAAGAATTATATGTATATGTGTATCCGTGCGAAAGAAATCGAAATGATTAGTGTAATATATTCAATTTATCTCGAAAATCTCAAAAAATTCTGTAACATTTTAAATTATAACGAACATTCTTAGAAAGTATATCATTAAAATATTAATAATATATTTAATAGAAAATATCTATATCATACATATAATACAAATATTTTGTGCAATTTTATTTTAAACATTTAAATAAATCAAATAAAAATAATCTCGCAGAAACAAAAGTCTAATTATTAAGATGCAACAATATAAATCTCGCTTTTGCTTCGTAATATATCGCTGATCTTAAAAGATACGCGGCACATATTTCTAACATTCGTTCTCGTTAAACTTCGAAAGTTATGGTACATCTTAAATTACGAATTATGCGCGTTTTGAAATTTAGTATCTTACAATTTCTCACAGGAAGGAGAGGATAGTTATTCGATATATTAAAACGAGCAGACTATTATAAAACGCTTACGTGCGCTATCACTTTGTTCTATTCACAGATTACGCGTGAAATCGATATATTTTAAAATACACGGTTTTCTGCGAAATTACTTAAGAAAAAATATTTATACTCTGCTATAAGTAACTAGAAATTTATGCTTCCATGATACAAATAATTATAAGATCTTTCAGCGACGGTAAGTGATATCAGGCTTCTCTCATAATTTTGCGGCAACCGCGCGAGAGAATCACGAGCCGAGCGTATGATGCTTATGCGAGATTTGCGTCGTTGAAATCTCCGACTCGTCCGTCTTCTTTCAAGCCTGCGGTATTTCGAGACTAAATTATGCGCATATTCTATTCACACCTGAGCCCACTCACCTCTGAGATCATCGTACTGCCTATTCGAATCCATACGTTCGATGTAGCGCTGATCATGAAGATAAACTGCAATCAAAAGCAAGCAATAATTAATTAATCGTTTCACACATTTACATTGCATTTCTTGAGCAAACTTTGCCAATGTGCGCAACAGTTTTAACACTTATGTTGAATGTATGTTTCATTAATATTATGAGTTCATCAGATATTTACTTAGAAAGCGTTACGAAAAATAATCACGTTAGCGACGCTATAAAACTCGAAGATTTCTCCAACCGTGACTTTTATTCTATTATATGCCAGCTGCGTGAGAGAGGGAAATTCCACGTTATTATTAGTATGAGAGTCGAATCAATTATGATCTCAGCAAAGATACGAGTCAGTTACAATCGGTGTATTTATTATTAATGCAATATCTCTCTTTAATAATATTATTATGATATCAAGACATACTAATCCATTAATACACAATTTATCAATATTTTGCTTTGTAAGATAAAAGAATATAAGTACAGAATATTTTAATGAAAAAAATATATAACTAAAAAAAATTTTTTTTTGATTAATCTTATATCCGTAAAATATATATCTAATTTTGTGTAATTTTATTTTAAACATTTAAATAAATCGAATAAAAATAATCTCGCAGAAACAAAAGGCTAATTATTAAGATGTAACAATATAAATCTTTTATTACAGGCTTTTAAATCTATTATTACACATATTACAAAACAAGTATTAATACTTCTATCTCTATTTCTTTTCTGCCAAGTTTATTTTGAAGAAAACTGCATTCTATAAAATTGATTCGACTTACGTGCGATCGATTTATTCGCTATTTTGCACTTTTTCGTGTGCTCCTCGACGCTCTCCATTTTTTTCTTATTCGAGTCAACGATCTACCTGTCAAAGGACGACGCAGGTTCTTGCGCGCCTGCGTAAGACAGGAGAGGTCGGTTACGATAGCAACTTGCGATGCAAACAATTCCGACCTACGGTTGCTTACCTGTAGCACGTGGGTGCGCATAATCGCACACCCTTATCGCAAATGTAAACGCGATGACCCCATTCCAAACCGAGGAAGGACGCAAATGTTATACCCGGATCTGGGGACGGCAAGCTCGCGCGGATCGATTCGTAGCCGTAATGGATAAAATTCGTAAATAAAGAGCGCCCTCGATTCGAGATACGTAATTTATAATTACGATATTAAGCCATTTTACACCGATAAGTCCAATATAAATTTTATTATACATATTATACACTACATATATGGCTCAAATGTGATATATGTAGAGATGTAAAAAAAAACCGGTTTTTTTTTCTAATAGAAAAAACGTGTTTTTTTCACTAAATGAAATAAATTTTGTTTTTTTTTCGTTATTTTTTTAAACATAATATTTTTCTCTATATTTTTTTATTAATATAAAAAAGTAAAGTTCTTATATTTTTAATTAATTTTTTTTTCGAAAGTAATTTTAATAGATTAATGAGACTTTTGCGGCAAATTATATCAAACTCGACATGATTCGGATAATTTTTAATTAGATGCATAACAAAAATTTTGATTAATTAAAAATAATAATTACATAACTATATAGCCAATCGGAATGCGAGCTACATTCAAAATAATAATGGCTAATTTAAATCTATCATTTCAAAAAATAAAAATAATGAAAAATCAATTTGCAGTAATCAAAATATAAAAATATTAAATACCTGAAAAAAACCAAAACTTTGAAAAAAAACGACTTGTTTTTTTTCTATTTACATCTCTGCATAAATATATAACCATCTATTCAAATTTTTAATTGTAAAATAGCGCAATATTTTAAATGACGGATTAGAATATCCCAATATAAAACGAATGTAATCCGAAACAATCTTAACCCCCTCCCCCTCCTCTCTCTTCATCATGCGTCTCTATATCTTTCTATTATTTATTTAGACATAAAAGAATTGGTCCCTGTCTCCCCAATAGCTCCTATTTCATATAAGATATTTTTACTTAAACGTTCACCACCTCGCGAGAATTTGTACATAAGTCCGACGCGAGTTTACCGACATAATGTAACCGGACACCGTAACGAGGGTTCTCAATGGAGGATTCGTCGGGGCATCCGTGGACCCAAACGGAACTCCACACGGATTATTTCGTATCGTGCTACGACATCAAATCCCGTCACGCAAAGGAGCATCCTTTGATGTAGAGGCAAAGAATTTCATTCTACGCGCGTTCCCCGACGAGGAGAGCGGAGCCGCGGTTTCTCCTACCTGTCGGACCATGAAATGCATCTCCCCCTTTTCACCGCGGAACCGACGCTGAATCCCAAGCAGGAGTAGAAGAGAAAAAAGAATGACGTAGAGGGAGGGAACGCGAGAGAGGCTGAAAAGAAAAAGGACGACGGGGAGAAGATGGAAGGGAGAGGAAGAAAAGAAGCTAGGTGACTCATCGACCGCGTTCGCGTGTGGGAAGTCGGTAGGGATAGTCAGGTGCAAAGTCAACGGACCCGAGAACCCGGGCTGGCTTTGCCCGCTCGACAGAGGTGAACGATGGCACCGCGTATATCGCTATCCGGTTTCCCCGTACGCACGCCGATTTGTATGAAAACGAGAAACCGGAACGACGCGCAACTGGTTCTGAATAAAAACCGGCCGAATTATAAATTCAAGTTCACGAGATACGAGTCAAAATATCGTAAAATATTAGAGCGTAAAAAAATTTGGCATGACCTTACAATTTGATTAGCTGGGAAACCCCCTACGCGATGAGTTTAAACGTTAGGGCATACTCGTTTGAAATCTCGAAAAATGAGTACACTTTTTTTAGATTTTTTTGCAGAGCAACAACTTGATAAAAATTTTTAATTTTTTTTACAATATTAATATAATATAATACAATATTAACTACTTAAATAAAAATTTTCAGCCTAAAAAAAATTTTTTTTTGAAGTTATGCGAATATTTGCAGATTTATGTTTTCGTGCACGGTGTGCATGAAAACTCGGGCTATATTCGACGAATTGACTTCAAATTTTACATGCGAGTTTCTAATAAGATTCCGCATCTGCCAACAAAGCCTTTTTTTAATCCGATTCCCCATTTTTTTGTTATAAAAAAAAAGATGGACATTTTTTCAAAAAAACCAATACCTTTTTCAACACGCCGCCATTTTTTTATTTTTTTAAATTTTGAAAAAAACGCTTGGATAGCAGATAGCTATTACAATGTTTAATAAGAAAAAACTTGGATTTTTTATTTCAAATATAATCTACGAACCTTTCCATGCACACGGTGCAGCCACCTAAAATTTGGAGGAACTCCGCAAATATTCCCATAACTTCTAAAAAAAATTTTTTTTTGAGCTGAAAATTTTTATTTAAAAAATTAATAATATTGTATTAATAGCGTAAAAAAATTAAAAATTTTTATCAAGTCATTGCGCTGCAAAAAAAATCTAGAAAATGTACTCATTTTTCAAGGTTTCAAACGTGTATGCCCCTTTAAAACGAATGTGATAATCGTTTCTTTTGATTGTTTTAATCCGTTAAAAAATGGTCGTATACTGATGCTGTATCGATGACTCACCTTGACAGTCTTTCACGCACTCGTCTGGTTGATAATTGTGGCTGTTGACGTCGCATGCGACCGAACAGGGTCTGCAGTGCATGTCGAAGGGGCTGCAATATTCCGACACATTGCAACGTTTCTCGCCGCACTGGGCACCCCGAAGATCAAGATCGGCAAGCGAGAAGGTAGCCAACGCGATGACAGCTATCACCGGTAATCTCATGCTGTTCACCGTCACATCCGAAAACATTCGGTTAAGATAATGCCGGTTCGATGCGCGATGGAATTTATTGTTGAAATGGCCAACCGGTTCGACGCTCTCTCTTCTCGCGTTCGCGTTTTTGTAATCCTTCCTTTTTTGCCTTCCTCCCTCTCTGCGTAGTGTCTCGAATCACGGATTTAGGACACGATCGTGATTCGTCCCGCAATCGATTCTTGCGGCGATTCTTAACGGCACTCGAATGGTATGCCTTGAGCAGGCTCCATACTCGTGGCGCTAATCAAAGAAACATAAGAAAAAAACACGTTTACACTCACTGCATATTATGTACAAAAGAACCAGTAGCAGGCAAAACACACTGGGGGTGGATAAAATCCCTCTTTTTTTGTATCATGATATTTGACTTGTAAATACTAAGAAAAATCGATTCTGACTCAACTGTTTATAACGTAGAGGATACATATATTGCTGCTAAAGAATTTTATGAAAATATAACTTGGTAGTATTCCGAGAGAGAACGCGTATCTATTATTTCGCAAGTAAGCGAATACTGAACGGTTGAACGTAACAGATTTTCGAAATGTCCTGGCGAGAAGACGATATAAGAAATTAGAGAAAAACATATTGATAACAATCGGGAGTCAACAAACAGAGATGCCGTGTTTAAATCACACAACATCAGGAATAATACACGACTTAATAACTGGAAAAATTCTCAAATTTTTGTTTAACTGCTATTAAAATTAAAATTAAAATGATTCTCGAGCATCTAAAAAGACGTATTTTTAATCTCTAATTCTTTATAAATTATTATTAAGAACAAATAGTTATAGTAATAATATAATTATAATTTTTAGTAATTAATTTTAGTTAATATAGTTATAATTTTTATAGATTATAGTAAATATTTACTGATGTGTTTTATTTTTGATAGGGCTACACATTAATCAACATGAGTTTAAATATGGTTATCTATCAATTTAAACCGTATATAATTAAAAAAAAAAAAACAACTTGTATATGCATATAATATATACAATATAAAATTTATAAATTCTGTTTTGCGTAATAGTCAACAAAAAAAAAAAAAAAATGTATAAATAATTAATCTAATCCGTTCCAATTTAATCTCTTCCAATAAAAAGATTTTTATTTACATAAATCACAGCACGATTCAAATCGAGGGTACGAAGAGACTCTTTTTGAACGGATAAATATGTTTCGTTTCGTTGATTACGCTCGATAGCGTCGCGATACCAGAGATGCTCTACAAAATATTACGCATCATCTCTACGCACGAACACCTGTGTTAACGCATACGCGGGCCCGGATGCATCGAAATGGCCACCGATATCTCGCAACAGCGAAGATACTTTCGCGGCTGCCACCGACGACCTCGTTTTATTGTCACGTCGCGCAACTATGTTTCATAAATTATTCGCGGTCTGTTTCATTGTTTTCTTCAGAGAGTACATATTTTTTCAATTGCGTAACAAGTGTTTGCGCTCTAGGCGACGGAGCACGTCTCGAATGCTAATAACGTATATTTTCAACTATGATTACAATGATGACAATATCAAAAGTTGTGCGGTTTATAAATAGACGCTTATATAAATTAAAAAAAAAAAAAATAACTAAAACGAAAAATGACAAAACAGAAACCGCGTACACCTTTATGCGTAGAGAAGCAGCACGATCATTTTTTTCAAAATAAAACAACGCGGATAATGAGAGACTAATATTCTCAGGGCCGCGTCGTATCGCGTTAGTGACTCATTCCTCGTATCAAACGGCGAGGTAAACGCTTACTTCGTGCCATTTTCTACATACATACCTTCGCCAAGCAAAGGAAAATTATCCACGACAACGACTTTCGATCGAAGTCGCAAAGGTTGAATAATATTCTGATTAATCGAATAAATTTTATTTTATTTTAAATTTTATTTAAAATTTTATTTTATTTTAAATTTTATTTTATTTATTAAATTTGGACAGAATTCTACAATCAAAAGATACAATAATAGGATATAACCTACTTTCTTAAAACTTAGAGGAAATTTAATTCTTAATTAAATCAAATATCTTAAATTTAAATGTAATTTATAAAATGTAATTAAACTTCTCAGCCTTTTCTGAGATTAATTATTCAATTGTTCGCAACTCGCGCCGTAATTGTAAAACGATTGCTACTCCGAAAATGATACGTTATGATTGATAACATGATAACGTTTAACAATTCAGTAACATACAGCGATACGTCAAGTTATTTTGATTTCTTCGACCGAGGTCTCGGAAGATGTACGTGCCTTTCCTTACGTTACGCGAACGATATTACGAAATATCGCGTGCCTTTAGGGCACATCCACGCCGTTCAGTTACCGGATATTATATGTTTTCCGTGAATCTCACTCGCGATCATACGGATGTGCATCGTAATGCAAGTCACAACGTGCACCAGCGAGCATTGTGGTACGTCTGGTACCAAACGCACACAATGCGTCAGGCATACAATAGTTTAGGGTGTTGCCTGGTGTTGTAACAAATAGAAATTGAATAGGAATGGTATAGTCTCGAATGTTTGTCGTGTGAAATAAAGCGATGGTCTTATATGAATTATTTAAAAGCTAGAAACAGAATTAAAAAATCAATATATATTATAAAAATATTTAAAAATTTGTATTCTTCTTTATTTTTATACTATTTTATACTATTTATTATTTTTATAATATTTATTTATAATTTATAATTTATTTTTTATAATATTTATATTTATCAAGTAAAGTGTTCACTCTGTGTAAAGTTATAAAAAATTATTTCGTGCTAAAAAACGCTATTTAAGATTTAAAGAATATCGGCAAAATTTTTAATTTATTAATGTTTCACATTTTATATGATTAATTTCGGACAAAAAAAGTTGTTCACATAATTATTAAAAATTTCACATATTAATGCGTATTAAAAACTTGTGTATAACATTTACATATAAAATAATCATTTTTGTAAATCTCTTTATCGTTGGAAATTTTATTAGCTATAAGTATCCGGTCATTAATTGCTGTTAATGTTATAAACCTATCAAAAAAAATCTTAATAACAATATGTATATCAAATAATTGTGAACAAATTTGTCTCCTCCGCGTGATATATCGTTATTCGATATTAATTCGAAACAGCTAATTATCGTATCTTGACGTGTAAACTCGTAACTTTTACTCGTCTACTTTTTATCAGTAGTCGTGAAGTCCCGAATCCGCTTTTTATCCCGCTTTTTATAACGGAAAGCATCGTTTACCGCTCTCGGCGAGTGGATTCGGCGACGTTCGCTGAGGAAAGTCCGAACAGAAGTCAGAGAGGTAGGCAGTGAACGCGCCGGAGGCAGTCTGGACGCAGGAATGTTGCCCGACTGGTTAACGAGGAGGGCTTTTACGCATGGCGAAACATTGGGTCGAACACGTCGTCGATACTCGTATACTCGAACGACAGCCCGCCATCGATGCAATGAATGGACCGTGAATCAAAAAGTCGTATTTCGGACATTAACTAGCGCAATGTATAATGATTGTACGATTGAAAGATCGAATGCAGCAATAGCGCAAGCATAAATTTGCGCATAAATTTTATTTTCAAAATCTTTGGACTTTCCTCCGAATCCAAACCAGACATCGATAACTCTTAAATTATAATTAATCGAAAATTAAAAATGTCAACTGATTAATAAAATATTAAAATTAATCTCGGATTAATCGCTCTTAAGAATTAATTTGACAGTCTTCTAGATCTCTCGGGTTTTAAAACTTTACGATCTCTTGTGATTTGTGGACTTGAAATATAATCGAGATAAAAATATCATCAATCAATCAATGTCAACTGTTTAATAAAATTAATAATAAGTATTAAAATAAATATATAATATATTTATTC